CGCCCGCAGGCCACATTGTTTTCAGCCGGTATCATCCCCCGCACCGTTCCACCTGTCGGGCCCAATGCCGCACGCGCGTGTCACTGCTCTTTGGCCGGAGGGGACAGCACCCAGCAATCGATAGCGGCTCCACCTGACGTCACAGGGCCGTACCCGGTGGTCTGGCGGAAGGGGAACCGCGTCATCAGCGCCGGCCCCACCATCACCGCCATCGAGAGGCGCTTCCGGCTGGTGCAGGGCCACAGCCTGCAGATCGATCGCGTGCGCGTGCGCGACGCCGGCACCTTCGTCTGCTCCGTCTCCACCGACCCCGTCACCGAGCTCACCCACCAGCTGGACGTGATGTGTGAGTGGCGAGCGACCGAAGGGTCGCCCCTGGCGCCTCGGGACGGTTTTGTGTCCCTGAAGTAGCTATTGGCCAGAGTTGCAGGGTTGTAAGGTGGGTTGTGATGCGAGTGCCTGCGTGCACAACATCATGAGCGTGCAGGAGATTGGGGATTGGGATGCGTAAGACGACAAGAGAGGTAAAGATGGCGGACCAGACCATAGCCTGTTAGGAAACAGAGGATATTTCGTTGGCGAGCGGTTACGCCTCAGGATGCCGTTACGGGTGTTTTATCAAATCATAACAAAGTCCATTCTTAATGGTTTACGAGCGAATGTGTTCATCGCCGCTCGCTGCTGGTATTTAAAACATTACCAGCGTGGTCGCATCTGATGCGACGCATCTGATGCGACGCATCTGATGCGATGCGATTCTGCGGTGTGAACTTATTAATGTGGGTTGCAGCGGCCGCGTCAGGGCAGGCGCCCTGACGCGCCCACCCTCGGCCGCCGGGGCTCTCGTGATGCTTCTGACCTTTTGCCGGGGCTGGTGAGGTCCGGCTTCGCCATCTCATCAGAATTTGATGGCTTCGTTCCACCGCGGTCCTAAATAGCGCCAGGCCGCCGCGGCGCGAAGGGTCGGTGGCACAGTGTCTTGAACTGAAATGGTATCTTTGCTTTACTGCACACGAGCGATGTGGCGTGCTCTCAAAATACCACCTAGCGTTTCGCAGGTAAAGGCTCTATGCCTTCAAAGGATTTTGGCTGAAGATCAAATACGCCATTGATAAGTGCAAGAATGTTACTGGGGGTCGTTGCATGTTGGTTCCGATTTCCAGCACCATCGCATGCTAGTGTATCAACAACAACGCGCGTTGAAAAGCTGAAAGTTAGAATCAAATTCAATAAGTAATTTGGATAAATGCCACACTTTATTCAAACGTTCAACATTGACCCACACTCGAAATTGGTGGCACGTGAAGTGTGGTGTTGGGTCGCGTGGATGCGAACTTTTAAGGACTTATTTACATCTTTATCGCAGCACTTCCGGAGTCTGCATGGTCCCAGACCAATGCACCCCTCGCACTCCTTGCAAGCTCCTCTGGTAATCGCCGTGGGGTCCTCGCTGGGCGTGCCAGTAGTCATATGGCCCTGCCATGGCTGTCCCATGTCACCAGCAACGAAGGCAACCAACAGCACAAGGATGGCGCCCGTCTGTACCCCAGGAAAAAAACACCAGATGATCGGGATTCTGCATTCTGGACCCGTGTGCCATCGGTATTCGACGTACATTTCTACAAAACCTTCTGGGCTTGGCGTTCTTGAGCGAGGTCTATCACATGATACCTAAGATCCAGGGTCCAGATGTACTTTCGTCAAAGGATTTCCAAAATCCGGGATCTAAATGCAAATTCTTCTCATTGATCATACACTGTCGTCGATCCTTCAGCACCTGTGTCTTCAGCCTGATGCATACGTGTTAGCATATTCACCCACATGCCTCTCAAAATCGCCCTCATGTCCGGGCCAAGCATCTGTGGTTCACAGACGGGCTCAACCCCTGCTCCGCTCCCCCCCCCCCCCCCCCAGTGGCTGCCATCAGCTCCCGTCATAATCAGTGGTCGCGTACGTGCAGCGCGTATCATGGCTCGTGAACCCGGACGTTCCCCGAGTGCCCCCCCCCCCCGCCCCCCTCCCTCAAGAGTCCTCAGAGCAAGCACACCGACTGCGCCGTTTCCGTCGGAAGAGCTCCCGCCTCTGCGACATTCGACCGTCGGCCATCGCACTGATCCCGGAGGCGATTTCGTAACGCTCAGAACGACCGAGTCCGCACTCCGGGTCCGCCGGCGCCGACGTCATCACTGGCGACGCCAGCCGAGCGGCGCCTGACGTCCGGCGCCGGCGGCGCCCCCAGCCAGGCTCGTCCGAACACCGCGGACCCCCGCCCGGCCCTGGAGCGAACACCGCAGACCCCGGCCCTGGAGCGAACACCGCAGACCCGCGCCCGGCCTGGAGCGAACACCGCAGACCCGCGCCCGACCTGGAGCGAACACTGCAGACCCTGGCCTGGAGCGAACACCGCAGACCCGTGCCCGACCTGGAGCGAACACCGCAGACCCTGGCCTGGAGCGAACATCGCAGACTCGCACTCGGCCTGGAGCGAACACCGCAGACCCGCGCCCAGCTCTAGAGTAAACACCACAGACCCGCACCCGGCCTGGGGCGAACACCGCAGACCCCCGCCCGGCCCTGGAGCGAACACCGCAGACCCCGGCCTGGAGCGAACACTGCAGACCCACGCCCGGCCTGGAGCGAACACCGCAGACCCCCGCCCGGCCCTAAAACGAACACCGCAGACCCCCGCCCGGCCCTGGAGCGAATACCGCAGACTCCGGCCTGGAGCGAACACCGCAGACCCGCGCCTGGCCTGGAGCGAACGCCGCAGACCCGCGCCCGACCTGGAGCGAACACTGCAGACCCTGGCCTGGAGCGAACACCGCAGACCCGTGCCCGACCTGGAGCGAACACCGCAGACCCGGCCCTGGAGCGAACACCGCAAACTTGCGCCCGACCCTGGAGCGAACACCACGGACTCACGCCCGGCCTGGAGCGCGAGGGTCACCAGCCGTCCGCGGAACCTGACCATAGACGACGCACCGGTGACGACGACCGACAGAGGGACGGGGGGACGGAAGGACGACAGGCGGAGCGCGAGGTCACGGTGGCCATGCGACAACGGTTGTAATACGTGTTCCAAACTGTCTGATCTTGTACGGGCCCCACTTTTGTCGGGTGGCGTCTCGACGGCAGCCAAGGACCGACCAATATTAAGCCGCTACATAGGTAGGTTAATGTTCTCTGTGGTTTGATATGTTTAAAGGTTTTCCATCCAATTTCATTTCATTTAACACGCGTCGGGGTGGCCGGTTGGATACCCTTTGCTCGGGTGGGGGTCAATTTGACCCCCCCCCCCGAGATCTCGGGAGCTAAGAGAGCTAGAGACACTAAATTCACAGGGTGTGTTGAGTTGTACGTGAGCTCACTTAGGTCAAGGTTTTAAGTTCCTAGGTCATGACCTTCGGGTCAGATAAGGTAAAACATGGTCAAGTTCCAGATTGGTCTCCAAGGAGCCTCTAGCACCTAGGCAACTGTTCTAAGCAAAATGTCACACGCTCAGTTAAAGAGGTCATGGTGACCAAAAGATAATACAAGACTGTTTTGAGTTTTGCATTTGGACAAGCGACAAAGATTGCGCTAGGCAGTATGTTCCTAAAAAATGTTTACCTGGGTCATTTTAGGTGACTGACCTACTCAAACCTATAAGAAGTCCATGGGAGGTGTATAATTCGGTTCCTGCTATCAATATATTCAAAATGGGCGCCAGAAACCAGCCCATACGGCAACCCCGAAAGAAATAAAACAGGTTGGTTTTGACCTTGATTTGTCCTTCATGCCTGAAGCTAGGTCAATGTTATTTGTTTATTCAATTATTATGTTACCTAAGAAAGTATCTCAGAGACGTCTGGCTTCGTCTAACGCTCTGTTGTTTGATTGAATTGAACGATTCCCAAGAACGTGCCTTCGCTGAAGCCATGGTCTGACTTTGACTTACCATAGGTCAGCGACCTTACAAAGACGCATCCAAATTTTTGATGTCAGACGATCCAACATTCAATTGTCTACAGCTATGCAAAATGTCGCGCGGCTACGCCGCACCATTCGGAAATCATGCCGGGAAAACCTTTGGGGGGAGGCCATTTGATCCGCCCACCGGGGTGCGTGCTAATTGCCGCCGATCTGTATTTGCCACTTTTCGTTTGAACTGTCTCTGTTACGTCCGGGTGAGTTTGATGCCTTTTTCAAGGCCGCATCATTGGATTATATTAGCTTCTTTGGTGCTGCAGCACCCGAGAAAATGAGCGGGCGTCTTAATTTTATTTGCTTGGAATGCGACATAACTTCATGTTGGCTGCAAATTTTGGAATGCAGATATTAAAATTGCCTAGTTGTTTGTCTACACTCTTCGTCCTCTGGATTGGTGGAAATGCTCACACGTCTCCTGTGTTTTCTGTCGGCTTTCTCGCATTTCAATGACGGAGAAGCGCGCGTGAAGCAGTGCCGTTTCAGGGAGCTCAGCTCCGTGTTTTTTGTACTGCCTCTGCCCTCAGTGAGCGTATCGCTAGCAGCTAGGATCAGCCGCTGGTAAAGCGATGACGGCGAACTTTGCTCAGCAAGAACTGAAGATGAAAGTTTTCAGAATCTGAGTGAGCTTCTAGTGCTTGAAAACGCGCGTTCTCCTCGTGATAACGCCACTGTTCGTTCGACCCCTGCCAGTGGCTGTCATGGGCGTGGGGCGGAGGGGCGGAGGGGGACGAGAAGACACCGCAATTACAACAAACGAATCGGGTGGGTGCTCTTCTTGTCTACCTCGCCGTCTGATCATGTTTCCGCAGCCAGCGGTCGCACGCTACCATCACCAGCGCACCAGCCTGCCTCTTCATCGCCACCCCCGCCGCCGTCCACTACTGTCTGTGTCGGGGTCACGGTCTGGGTCCTGTCTGTGTCTGTGTCTGTCTGTGTCTGGGTCACTGCTGTCTGTGTCGGGGTCACGGTCTGGGTCCTGTCTGCGTCTGTGTCTGTCTGTGTCTGGGTCACGTTTCGACAGAATTAGACCTGTGCTCGGCGACACGGTCTGGGTCCTGTCTGTGTCTGTGTCTGTCTGTGTCTGGGTCACGTTTCGACAGAATTAGATCTGTGCTCGGCGGCACGGTCTGGGTCCTGTCTGTGTCTGTGTCTGTCTGTGTCTGGGTCACGTTTCGACCGAATTAGACCTGTGCTCGGCGGTGCGGTCTGGGTCCTGTCTATGTCTGTGTCTGTCTGTGTCTGGGTCACTGCTGTCTGTGTCGGGGTCACGTTTCGACCGAATTAGACCTGCGCTCGGCGGCACGGTATGACCGGCGAGCGGCGCTTCGCCTGATGTTGATCTTGCGTTCTCCCGTTCGGCCGCCCAGCGGGCAGCCACAGGCCGTTGTCTGTCGTGTCGGAACGAGAGGCGTCCGGTCTCCAGTGGCTCCCTCGAGATCAATCTTTCACGCTCTGTCGCTGGAGAAGCGTAGGTCGGGAGAGACATTACATGTCTCATGGTGTTCTCGCGGCACGGCCTTCCAGCACTCCAGATGGGCTTCGGGATCCTCCTGAGTCACCCTCCGCGGTAGTCTGCTGTTGTACTGTGGTAATCGATTTAAAACGAGGAAGGAATACGTTTTGGTGCCACACCGCGCAGTCTGGTAGAATGCTGTTCACAAGATGGCAGCAATCGTGCGAATCGATGAGTGAGTTGTCTCATTCACACATTTTAAAACAGGGAATGAAACAGCCGCCGATAGTAAAACAAATAAAAACCGTTACATGCGCTTGCCTATCTGCTTCATACATCCCAAGTCCTCACAATAAAATTGTTTGATCTCTGTCTCGCCCCCAGCGCTTTTAATCTGCGCCCTAGTTAAATGCCGGATCAGAACTCAAGCTTTGGACTGACCATTTCTCGGGAGATACACTGCGCGACTGGTGTCCGGCCGGCGTCTACTGCCGGGTCCGGCCGTGGAGACTTCATCTCTCAGAGGCTGTCAGGGCGTCCAGCGGCGGCCAGAGGGCAGCCAGCGTGGAGGCGGCGGCGGCGTCGGCGGCGGCGGCAGCGGCGCCGGCGGCGGCATCTCGTGCCACATATTGTCGCTCCGCCTGTCTCGTCCCAGCGATAATGCCAGTTATCCTCATGAATAAAAGATGCTCGGAGTGATTGATTCCCGAGATTTCGCACGGCTGTGATTCACGGAGCTACGGCCCGCGATGCCCCACGGCAGTCGCCAGCTGGCGTGACTGGTCTGCGATACCGCCGGCGCTCCCCTGAACTGATACAATTCGGAAGCTATGCATGCTAAGATGCGCGTTAAGTGGAGTTGTTATCAGGCTGATTGTGTGCGTCGTAATCAAATTGGGCCTCGGATCTTTGTGGATGGGCGTGAGACAATTGACTTAGCATATCGTTTGGCTCTTTCATCGTGCATCTTTTCAATCATTCAGCAGAATAATCTGTGTTTGGGCTGATGCCGTTATTGAATTGATTTTTGATGCGACTCAATTAAACAATGTCAATAATTTTTTGCTTAAAACGATAAATGGGCATACGATGTATAGTTTGTGACGCCAGGCGAGACAACAGAATCCCAGCAAGAAGCTGCCCAGAAACTGTGTTGAAACAGCCGTTTACGATGCGTAGAAAACTGATTTAATTCAGGAACACTTTTTAGCATGCCACTTTCACTAGAATAGCAATAACTTTTCAGAACCTTAGTCTTGCGACGTGATATCCTGTACACTTACGTGAAATGTTTCAGTTGCTAACCTTCTATCTCTGGGCGATGGTGAGACATGACGATCAAACGTTTGACAGGTGACATGCGCGAGGACAGACCGCTAGACTTCGCGTGAATCAGTCATCTTTCTGACCGTGTTCTCTCCTGCTCTTATGAATCTTAGCATACCTCACCGCGCCAGAGCTTAACCGTAACCGTCGCTGGTAGCGCAGGCTTCGACCTTACGTGGTCCCCGGTCGCGTCGGGCACCCAAGCGGTCTCGTAAACAGCGCGGCAAGGTTGTCCTGTGAAGTCAAACCCGCGGCCTGAGGAGTCCGACTCGGGTCTGTGGAGTCAGACTTGGGTTTGATGAGTCAGTCTGAGGAGTCAGACTTGGGTCCATGGGGTCAGAATCGGTGTCTGAGGAGTCCGACTGGGTTCTGAGAAGTCAGACTCGGGGTCTGAGGCGTCAGACTCGGGGTCTGAGGCGTCAGACTCGGGGTCTGAGGCGTCAGACTCAGGGCCTGAGGCGTCAGACACGGCTCTGAGGAGTCAGACTCTGGGTCTGAGACGTCAGACTTGGGGTCTGAGGGGTCAGACCCGGGGTCTGATGAGCTAGACTCGGGGTCTGAGGAGTCAGACTCAGGGTCTGAGGCCCGAGCTGACTGGCGGCGATGTGACCTCACTTCTTGCTTCTTCCTTATTCCACCAAATTCGGGATGGTCTTGCGACTTGAGCTTGAGCCTTGAATCTCTATCAAATTTGACACAATGCCTTTGCTCTGGTAAAGGTATGTTTATGTCCTAACAATATATTTTTGTCACAATGTTACGACTGCTATTTCGGCCGAGTGAATACATATACGATCCTTTTTCTCTTATCGTTTTCAGCTTCATGAAATGTTTACATTCACAGAAATGCTAAATCCAGACCGAAACTGCTGTCATCATATTCAGCAACTCATTTTTTGACGTCTGCTAAATCATAGGGTAATCGGCCATGCGGTTAAGTACCCCCTGCATAACGGCGCATTTTAGGCATAAATAGCTAATGCATCCTAATCTTTTCCGGGTGCATTAACACGTCGCCACTGCCACATATGAATAAAACACCCTAGAGGCTCAAAATGAACAAAGTCCGGTGGTCGGGTGCTCTCAGATATCTTCCCCGTTGGTAACATTCTTGATTTGTGGGGCGAAAGTTGCCTTTACAATTGGAACCCGTAGCAACGTAGGGCACCAACTGCCCTCATAAAGTGAAGAGGCGCTGAAACTGCAGGCAATTACAGGCACGGAATCGAAATTAAGGCCCAGAACTTTCTCCGTCGATACGCAGCTAGAACTGTCCCGTGAGTTCAGACGACACAAATGTTTCCAACAGAAACCACTCTTGTCGCGCATAATATGACAGCCGATTCCTATTGCGATCATCCATGGACCAGAAGACGAAACATCTGTAGGCGATGTGATTAATGGCTCGGACCAAGGTACTTCATGTGTGGAAAACAAAGGTATTTGAGAGTGCTGATTTACTTCATGCAGTGTTTGAAACATCAACGCCGTTTCATCCTCATGGAAATGTCGGTTCGGTACCCGAAGCGGGATGTAAGATCCAAACAATGCCTTGTGGTTTCAGAGTTTCGGCATGCCCTGCAGTGCTGAATCACGTTTAAAGTATGCATTCTTTTACATAATATGTGGCTGCGTGTCCCGTGAACATCAGCGATATGAGCATTAATGACGAGGTATGAGGATGTGAATGTGCGGATGAATTGAAAAAAGGTTGCGCGAGATCACCCCATTCAAATGATATCTAGTATAAGATATTCCACTTTTAATGCGATACAACATTGATAGATGCCGTTCATCGAATAGAAATTTATTGGGCCTGCTTTAGTCGCTTTATAAGAGCCACGTGATGTATTGACCAAAAAATACCTCAGGACCAGCTCTTGCACTTGTGCATAGTACCTCAAACGCGTGAAAAATGTTTTCTGGTGTTTTGACGCGTCCATGGTGGTCCAATGTTTTGGCGCCACTGCCCGTCACCGGCCGTTACCGCCAGGTGTGTTCGGTTGCAGACGGGCCGACAGTGCAGACGATTCCAGAGTCCGGCATGGTGGTGGCCCAGAAAGGCTCAGAAGAGACGCTCGAGTGCTCGGCGCGTGGAAAACCGCAGCCGCAGGTCGTGTGGAGGAAGCAGGTGGGCGCCGGCCAACTGTTCTGCCGAATTATTTCGACTTTTTCATGATATTTGGCGTCGAAGGGAATATGGCGTCGTTACAGTGGGGCAGTGGCGTCACTGCTGCAGTTCGTAGCTTATCGCAGTGAATTGGGACTTTATTCCACTTGTTTATGCTGCCGAACTGCCAGGCCCTGACGCGGGAGCTCGTGCTGCGATGGTTTCGCGCTGAGTTCCATCACTCCGCTGCCGGAATACCGTGGGGACTCGCGGCGGACGCCTGCTCCCTCCCCAGAAAACAATCAGCCCCAGCACACCGTGAAATGACGCACTTTCGACTCTTCGGATGTCCCGATTGAACTATGGCGGCACCACTCACTCCAATCCTGCCCAATGCCTATTACGACCCGTGTTTTTTTTTCAGACCGGCCTCCTGCCGACCGGCGAGAAGACGAGGCTGGGCAACCGCTACACAGTTTCGCAAATCAGCCGGCAGATGGCAGGCGTGTACGAGTGCGTGGCCGACAACGGGCTGGGCCAGACAGCCGTTGGCCGGATCAGTCTCCAGGTCCAGTGTGAGTGGATGCCAGGCGGCCCCAGCTGATACAGAGTGCAGCCGTCGTCCTGGTGTAGAGAGTGGATGTGTAAAGAACCGCTGCATTGCCGCGACGTTTTCAGTTACTTGATATTCATTTTTGTTCGTGCTGTGGTGCCCCGTTTAACCACGGCAACGACTGAGCCGAAAGGTCTTGCGGGCTCCCCGCATAGTCTAGGATGGTGTGCCTAAAAGTAGGGCGTAATGTTTGGGCCGCGATGACTTAGAATGTCAATGTGTCAATGTTTTCTCATCTTTGCCACTCCACTTCCCGTCTACCCTACTGATAAATTTACCCTAACTCTAATATCATTTTTAGGTATTAGTGTTATAAATTCAGTTTCTAGCATTGTTTCCGGCAGTCGTCTTCTCGAAATGGATGTCATTTACTTTGGTTTTATAGTGGAAAATGCACCTAACCGGGAGTATTCTCGCTGCGGTGTCTCTGTGCAGCACTGAGAGTGTTATTCCATTAACCCCTTGACCCAGAGTTTGAAGGAGAGAGCAACAATGTTATTTCCACTTCTCGCACTTGGAGTGACAAGATGAGACAGAGGCATCCGATTCACACAAACGCAATGTCAAAACACGTCGCTCAGGTGTTTAATTCTGCCGGCGGCTGGTGCGCTGCTGGACACGAGCACCGCTCCACGTCAGCTGCCGACACGGAAAACACATCTCACAAATACGCGACCGCCGCACTGGCTGGCTGGCTACTGCTTTCTAACCGATGGCATAAGGTTCTCTAATCAGCCTGGTACGCCTAGCCTGCTTACAGCTCGGCAGTGTCATTCTCGAAGCTTGTGAGAGGGAGGGGGGCAAAGGGAGGTAATGGAGCTTAACAGATCCGAACATAAGACATGGAGGTGCGATCGTTGTAAAAACTGGAGCCATAATGGCTGAGCTGAGGCAAGTGAGACTGAAGTGAGACGAAGCATGCCAAGCAGCGCTAAAACGGCAAACAAAATATTTGTATGGAAAACTTGTCCTTTAGATCTGAGCGATCCCAATGAAGCTTTTCACCCTCAGGTAAATGGAAGCTTTATTGAAAATATGCATCCATAATGAGTCAACTGCTTGTGATTGGATGTTCAGCACAATAAAAAGCTTTGTTCCGAATATGCCACAAGGTAATAAGAGGCAATCTGAGGCAAAATTGCAGCATTTTAAAATCTTTTAGGAGATCGCGTGTTGAAAGTACACATTTATTTCATGCATTGGGGGCAGCTTTGTAGACTTCATGTGGATCACAAAAGCAGATTTCGTAACTCTTCGTATATATCAATTTTTTTCGCGTTTGAGCGGGTTTTTGAGATGAGACAGTCGCACCAAAGTGCATTGCAAGTACAAACGATTAACACAGCATTCGTATTCGATCCCTACACGTCTGTTTTTATTATTAACATGGGTTTTATGAGTAACGCAAATGCCGTTGAATGGTTTTAATCCGTTCACTTCCACTTACGTTGCCTCGGTGATTCTTGGATCCCCTCAATATCAGCCGCATCTGCAGTGTAAATTTCTAAATCTCTTGGAGAATTTTAATCTCTTTAATGAATCGTTGGTTTGTTTAATTTTAAGGTTATGTTGAGGACGACATGATCAGTGATGATTGCACGTAAGGACCACGGATGTTTCCTCTGAAAACGTGAAGGTGGGAGCAGTTTTTTGCCCGTTTTAGCGTAGCGCTATGCATCGAATCGCTTGCTCAGCAGAGTTATCCTCCACTTAATTGTTATCCAGCTGACTAGGCTCACGGTCGCCGCCCCTCCCGTGCGTTACACGCCGCTGTGGCAGACTGTGGCAGCGTGATGAGGCGTTCCATCTCCTCAGACCCGCCGGAGGTGGAGGTGGAGCGGAGCACAGTGTACACCGGTGAGGGCTACGCCGTCAAGCTGGCCTGCTTCGTGTACGCCGACCCACCGGCCAAGGTGAGCTGAGGTCTGGCACTCCCGGCACTCCCGGCACTCCCGGCACTCCAGGCACGCCAGGCACGCGCGCGCGCCTGCGTCCACGGCTCTTGTTTGCACCGCCTTTCTTTAGATTAGTGAAGTCTGAATAGCCTGTTGATCATGATGACACATCATGTTGATCATGGTGATCATGGTGGCATAAGTCAAGCTACTGGGGAAAGAAACCCGTCTGAGGCTGCCTGCATGTCACACATGCAATCATCCACTCCATTGCATTTCTCCCGGTTTGGGGTGCCTTATAATGAAACTGAAAAATTGTGCGACTGTTGCGTCATGCCCAATGCTAATCAAATATACTCCCAGCCGATGACGCGACTAGCATTTTGTTAAGGGGGAGGGTGCGGCCCCCAAACTTTATTGCGCAAAACGCCAATTATTTTTATTCGTATCACGAACCCACCGTGGTGAAAAACAAACACAAATTCGGGACTAATTGGGGGGGGGGGGGGGGGGCTTGGCTGCGCTGTTGCCTTCAGAAGCCAATAGGGAAGATCCGAAGTGCTGGTTTTTGTCATTAAGAGTAATCAGTGATGCTGTAATAACTGCCGAAGATGTACCCTCAGTATCGTATCTAAGAAAGAATTTCTAACCCGCAACATATTGCACAGTTTTGATTTCAAAACAATGATTGTTCTGGCAATGTTCCATCATCATATGTAGAATGCAACGAGAATTTAAGAAAAACAAGTCAGTGCGCAGGTAATAAGTAGGTGGATTAGCCGCAAGGCAAAACGTCGGCATTCCGAAGCATATCTGATCCCAGAAATCCGCCCCGCAGGAAACTCTCGCAGTATGCTCGCATCGACAACACAGCAAGCAACGATTACGATCAACGAGGACCACTTGTTACCATACCATTGCATGCACGCAGCGCAGCATGGATGAGGGTTTGATTAGTTGGCGAGCGATGAGATACGTGGCTAGTCCATTTTGCGTCCAGTTACTGGGTGCCTTGGGTCGCTGCGTTAGAATTGACCTTCGACGGTGTTAAGTACCGCTTGCCTTTGTCAGTCGCCAGGGGTACGTCCATGTTATTCAACCTGTGACTATATACTCGCAGTTTGCTTCGACGAGCCACCTTTGTCAATTTACACAATTTGTTTTCACGCTCAATAGCGCGATCTTGCTGAAAATTTCGAAATCTTCGACTCTCGGCCGGTTTAGTTATACAGAAGATCAGTCAGCCTCATCTTATTTCGAAACATAAACACAACCTTCGAAACGAGCGATGTATGTTTCATTCTTTCCCGTACGAGTGCTGTCAGTCAGTTCGTTCACACGGGACCACAGCAGAGACCTGTTGGGCCTTGCATTGCTGTTCCCATGACAGAACAGATTCGTTGATCGCATTATGATCATTTCGTTCCGCGTCCGTAATGTATCTGCTTCTTATGAGCGCGGAATGTGGTCAGTAACTCAAGAATGATAGTTTCGTATAGAAGCTGTCGTCACCCAGAGGTTGGTGCTCAGGGATTGAATGCATTTTAGCGGAAGAAACTCATTAAGATTTCATTTTCATATCGCCAATGGTGTTGGCAGGATAATGAAGATTCTTAGCGCAGGTCTTGTCCTTGGTTAGTTTTCGTGCCAGCTACGAGCTCTCTTCGGCTTGAACGATTATGAAGACGTTTTTAACGGAAACAAACATGCCCATCAAGATAAATAAAAAACGTTGGCACTTTTTGCCTCCGTCATCAAATTGCACCCACATTTGTGAGACACATTGGTGAAGACTTGCATCTCTTAGAAGGTTATGATCTATTTTGTCTCTTTCACGTAAGACTCAAACCATTTGCAACACGAAAACAAACTAAATGAAAAAGCACAGTCCCACTTTTTCGAAAATATTCCCTTCCCTCAGTACATTTCAGCTCCGCCCCGTTGACACAGTTGCGACTGAGAGACAACACCGCCCATATGAACAGCCGGCTCGGATGGCACAGCTTTTCTGGCGGACGGGCGGACCTGGCAGCCCAGCCTCTCGCCAACGTGTTGCTCAGTCTCTCCCGCCACACCTCTGACCGCCCCCCCCCCCCCTCCCGATTCCGCCGCAGGTGGTCTGGGCCCGCGACGGCTCGCCGCTCGATGCGGCCCGTCACGTGCCCTCCGACGACGTCGCCATGGGTACGCGACACACGCTGACCGATCCGCCGCGTGCGCCCGGACGACTTCACCACCTACTCCTGCCAGGCGTCCAACAGCCTCGGCGCCATGAAACGGCGCATGATCGTCACCGGTGAGCGGTTCGCGGCGGCGCCGTCGGTGGACGTCGCGTGCCGCGGTGGCGCGGCGGCGCGGCCCGCAGCGCTCGTGTTCGTCGCCGCCGATGGGTCTGGTGACTGATGGTGATGCTGGGGGACATTCTGTGGGCCCGCTGCTCGATTACTGGTGGCGCCGGTAGTGAGCAAACGCATGGATGCATGCGGAATGTTTTTATTTTTCTATACAGGGAATGTGGGATGCATGGTTCGAAACAATGTATCTGGCGAATGTGGCCCAACGAGCCCCGTCAAACAAAGCCCCAAGCAGTACCGTCTTGAACTCCAAATAGTTCACACATGTTACAAATACACACGAGAGCCAGGTCTACGAACAGCGTGAAGTGAACATTGATGAAAGCACACATTCATCACACAGTGGTGTGGACCTGGAGCGCCGTTAGCAGGCGTCTACCCTAGCTGTTTTTAGATCACCACGCCCACTCACACCGGCCATCGACGCCACCGCTCCATCGGACGCCATCGCCCACCGCCACGTCCGGCCGGCCGCTGTCGGCGCGTCACCGTCTACAGCACGACCTCCGGTCACCAGGCGACCCGAACCGGCCAATTAGCCGCGACCACGGGAGGAAGCCGTCGCGACGTAATTGCCCCCGGCGGTCGAGCCGCTCGGTGGGCGGCCGCCGCCAGCGTCTTGACCGAGGTCCAGCCAACCGCGCGCGCTCGGCGCTGGCCGAGGGGGCCGGAACGGATGTGGCGACCGGACCGCGACACGCCACCGGCCCCGGAAGGCACAGGGGCGGAGCCAGGCACAGAGGCGGGGGGGGGGGGGTGGACTGGGTGCGGGGCATGGGCTGAGTCAGGCATGAGGCAGGGGAGAGATCAATCTGCTTAAAGAGGCGTAGCGGGGGCCCGGCAGGACACCCAAGAAACCAGAAACCAGGGCAGGGCCAACACCAGGCCCGAGGCAGGGGAGGAACCAGGCCGGAGGCTGGAACGAGACCAGCCCCGGGGCAAGTGTCGACACAGTCACGGTCAAGGACAGGTCAGTTTGATGCTTATTCGGTGAGACGGCATTAGGGGCGCACGTGTTGCGGTTTGCCGCGTGTTGCGTAACACACGGAGCCCGCGACACGAGCCAAATGTCGCGCGGTGTGAATTATTGTCGCCCTGTATCGTGAACTGGTCTGGAAGGCTGTAATGCTAATGAAACATGGAGTTACAGCGTCGGCAAACTAATGAGAACCGGATTGAGTGCTGGTTTGGGACGCTTGACGTCTCGCTGTAAAATGGGCAAGTCGTTCTGGGTCACATAAACTGGATTGTAGTCTGACGCGGGCACCTTGGTAAGGCAGGAATAAGGGCGCGGGAACAGGGGAGAGGGAACGGTGCCCCCAAATTTGATAAACCCAGAAGTAGCACTTCCAGTTCTACAGAAAACGTAGCACGAGTCGTGTAGCGTCGAATGATGAAGAACATGAATCTAAAAAGACGTTACGCCCCTCTCGTCCCTTTCATGGGTTTCTGTGTATCTGGACAGGGCGGCTGTGACATCTGTGGCTTTTTACAACTGTGACTGGCTTAAAGCCCTACGCTTGATTAATTTCCGCCGTCTCTGAACTCACGAGCAGTAACAGGCGTTCCGTACGTCACGTCCGAGCAGACGTTACGTACGTACGTGCGTCTCAAGGCACGAGCAGTAGCAGACGTTACGTGCGTTACGTGCGTCTCAAGGCACAAGCAGTAGCAGACATTACGTGCGTTACGTCCGAGCAAACGTTACATGCGTTACGTGCGTCTCAAGGCACGAGCAGTAACAGACGTTACGTGCGTTACGTCCGAACACCCGGGTGCTCCCGTCTTAACGAATTTTTCTGCTTAGATAAATAGCAATAGAAGAGCAACCTGTGCAGCCAACCACGGCCATCACTTCTCGGACCTGGAAGGAGGGTATCGATAAACACCGTGCTAATTTCTGACTGCCAAGCCACATCCCTGGGTGAACACCGAGCAAGAAATCGTAACAGATGCCTTCGTTTTGTGTTTGGTATCAACCAATATTCATTCGTCACCAGCGCCTGTGGCTCGTATCGCTGTGCTACCAGCAAAGCATCCCGCCATGATACTACCTGGAAGTCGCCCGACTCTGCCTGGAGACCACCTGACACCTTCATGTCCTGCGCACGATCGAAGCATCGCCCGCAGAAATGCCCACGCTCGCTCGCTTACACAGCGGTCGGGTTCAGGGGTGCTCAACCTGTGGGTGACGCAGCACGTCTGTTGCAGGGGTGGCCGACCGAGTGCGGGTGACGAGCGCTCCGGTCGGATCGGCACCCGACGTGTACGACCTCTCCTGGCGCGTAGAGAGCTACTCTCCCATCAACGAGTACAAGGTCGCCTACCGGAGGAGCAAGGTCAGCGGCTGGGATGATGATGGTGGGGATGACAGGTGATGATAATGATGATGCTGATGATGGTGATGGTGGATTTGAAAAGACGCTGGTGATGGCTGATGACTTCTTCTGGCTATTCTGGCTACTGGGTGGCGTTAGTTTTGTGTTGCTTTTAATGTCCGGAGGGTCTGGCCCCTGAATATTGGGGTTTAGGGAACTTACTACTACTTGGATCTGCCCTGGTCATTTAAGAACTCTTGAAACCCCGGGGGGCGGATATGCCAAATTAGACACTTCTGTTCAGCTATAGCATCCCCGTTCATTGACGCGTTACTACTCAAATCATGCTGCTAGAAGATTCCCTCATCTGTATCAAGATAGCTCTGTACTACATGCAAGCACAAAATGTTTAGAAACACGTATACTCGTGTCGACATGCTCAAATGCTAAGTCATTTCTTTGCTACAATGTTTCATCGCCCGCTTCAAGTACGTTGTTGCGTTGAACAGTCCATGCGTGCCTCAGATCTGATAAAGATCTGCTCCGCGTACAGCAAAGGCACGAGATTCGCTCCCAACGGCGGGCCCCCAGAACGGTACGTCACGGCACTCTACGCCAGCTGCGGTCCGGTGGCCACTCACGGCAGTCCATCTGAACCGTGATCCAACCGTGACCCAACTGTGACCTATCTGCGGTTCATCCGTGACCCAACCGCGACACAACTGTGGTTCAACCGTTACCCGACCGTGACCCAAAATTTAGACGTGACCCAACCGCGATCCAACTGTGACCTAGGCGTGACCCGAACATGAACATCCGTGGCGCACCTATCGCTGCCAGGCGTCTGCGTTGTCGGCCAGGTCACGAGCGTCACCCTCGGGCGATCAGCCGGGGTCAGCCGGAGACAGTGTCCGCCCCAGTCACACGGCACCTGCCGTCGAGCGCGACGATCCATCATCGTCGGCGGTGACGCGCCAGCGGCCGTCGACCCGCGCCGGCGCGGTTTTATGCGCCGGCCGCCGCGGCCGCCTCGGTCATTCCGCGCCATGAAATATGCCGTCTGGTGCTCAACTTTGGGATAAGTCCCGCCGTATCGGGCAGGGAGGAAAGATTTCGGTCTCTTTACGGCGGCAGGGGACGGCCCGGGGAGCGGCTCACCCGCTCTCGGGGCCGTCAATAAACTCTGCCGTCCGCCGTTCGCGATGGTTTTAGCGGATTGGGGATGGAAACAGGCAGCGATACTCGGGGAGGCCGTCGGTTCTCCGCCGCACTCTGATGCTGGACAATGGCGAAGTGCTGACAACTTTCAAAACGCGCGCATGCGTGTTCTTTTATCGCTTTGTTGTGTAGCTGATCGGCCATCTCAACGAGCCCCAACCCCAACATTCGGCTGCTCGCCAAAAACAAAACACGTCCTGTAACCCTCGCGCAGGTAAAGGCGCAACACAGAAAACAATCTTCATTCTTCATACGTACATGTATACATACATATATATATATATATATATATATATATATATATATATATATATATATATATATATATATATATGTATGTGGGAGGGTTGGGAATTGTCCCAAGGTGGGACAATTCCCTTAGATAACATAGATAATACAATCTACAGGAAACAGTCGGCTGTACCAATTCCCACTCATTTATTCAAGCAGTGGTCTCTATTGACAACATGTCTGATTCCGTCACACCACAAATCCGACAGGTGTTTTGGTCTTCTCCGCTTGATTACGACATCACGTCCCTCTGGATACCAGACGACACAGGCACTCAGGGGAATAGTAAAGCAGACGCCGCGCAAAACGAGCGCTGTTAGTACCCAGTCACATCCATCCTTTGTGCCCGATTACGAATGCACTTACGCACTCAACTCCATTTATTAGGCAATTCCTTCAACGTGGATGGGACCAGCGCACACCAACCCCTGCAACATCAAACCACGACTCGAACACTGGAACAGCTTACAACGCAACACGCGCTTGAGGGAGGCCCTGCTGATGATGCTCCGGATAGGCCCCACAGCACTAACACACGTATCGATTTTTTGAAGGGACGCCGCCCTCTCTATGTCACTGCTGCCACACTCCACACACCGTCGGAGCCTTTCTGCTCGCATGCCCTACATACTGAGACGCGCGATCACTCCCCTCGTACACCACACAAATACACACAGACTCCCATTCACGCTCGCAATCCTTCTAGGTGACTCTTGGCCGGACATTTTCGACCTCGTCCTCGAGTCTCTACACAACACGAGATCAGTTAATTACATGTAAATTTTGCGAGGTTTTCCCTGTACAGTTGTGAAGGCATAGGTTTGCCTGTTTGTCAGGGGGATGCCGCGCACGTTTGCCCATAGCACACCTTTGCACGGCGTAAGCGCGCCAATATTTCCCACTTTCTCAGGAATCCGGGCTTTCCTAGTTGGGACTTCCGGATCAACAGGACACAACATACAGCAAGGTTCACCGGGCCGCTGAGCCGGCTCCTCACTCGCAGCCAGGGCCGCTGAGCCGGCTCCCTTGCCGCGATGAAGTCGGCCTAATCCACCGGCTAAGCCAAAGCGGAAATCGGCTGCTACAATAAAGCGATCCTAACACCCGCATTGTTCTGTTCTGTACTGCGTGCATGTATACCTGTTTATGTTGAAAAGACTAATGCGTAAACACACCGTTTTCCGTTTACTTTCGTTTGCATCCGGAGAAAATTAGCCGCTCACGGTAATGCCACTTTTCCTATCGTTGCTTTGCACCGGATGGCGTAAGCCGGCCTAATGTAGCTTTTTGCCTGGGCTTCAGCCAGAAGGAAATATTTCCTCCCGGGCAGTGACGTTAGGTCATCGGGACAGCCCAAACGTGGAAAAAGCGTCGGCCTTGCCGCAGCTGCTGTTGTAAGGGTAAGTGGACTGCGGATTATAAATAGATTTTTCAGCACTTACCAGCGGGGTGCAAGTATGTTAAGATTTCAAACCTTTGGGCAGTCCGAAACACCAAGCGAGAATGTGTTTCGCTTGCAGAAACTCTTCAGCAACGCCGGCAAATTTGTATCCCTTGTGATCATTGCTTCCCTGAATATAACTAAAGCGCAACTTCGAGGACGTCATGCGATCGATACAAACATGAAGGCCTGTATCTGACCAGGGACTTGTCCAATAACGAAGACCTTGATCTTCCTCCGATCCAATGAGCCATTTAAAGCTCTTTCAGGATCCACTTGGAAATTATCTGCGCAGGCCTCCAAGGGACGGACAAACTTTATCAAAGCTCCGTTATCTCACCCTTTAGAACTCGTACTGTGTCTTCTCCCGGCAGCACAAGCCACCACGCTACCCAACGTTCAACTCGTGCCTCTCTTTGACACGCCGATACCGACCCCCTCGCGACGCGGCTGAAGGGCACTCGTGGATAATGCCGAGGAAAGTCGCTGGGGCAAAACTATCCAAACGGGCATCTTTCATAGGTTAAATCTTAGTGACCCATTTCAACACTAGTTGGTGGAGCCACTGCCGAGAGGGAACGGGGAGAGGGGGGGGGGGGGCGAACGGGGAAGGAGTGCCTCTACATGGTGGTCGTAGCATCAGTCGCAGTCGTGGCTGCAGGCTTTTTCACTGCCCCTGGTCCCCACGGTGAGTTTTGATCTTTGCAATGAATAACCCCAGGAGCGTAAGAGCATCTACACAAGTTGTCGATGGTGTGGGGGCGGAGGAGAGAGCAAGCAAAACCGCCTATGGTGCAGCTCGTCTAAACTTACTTTTTACCAGCTAACGCCACAGAGGAAGTGGCGGCAATACTGTGTTTACGGTGTTAAGTGGTAGGTGCCAGCCGCCGTCTGCGTTCCTCGGTCTCGTTGACACAGCCGCTGTACCGTGCCGCAGTACAACGCCTCTTCGACCACGCCCTCGGGCTGGAAGGAGGTGATCGTGCCGACCACGGGCACGGAGCCGACCAACGAGGTGCAGTACCACCAGCGGATCGAACTGCGGCACCTGCAGCCCGCTGCCGGATACGACCTCTACATCCAGGCGCGCAACGGCCACGGCTGGAGCGCCGTCTCTGACATGTTCCACTTCTCCACGCTCTCCAAGGGCGAAGGTGAGCACCGGACCGCTGAGGGGAGGCGAGGGCTCCCCGGGCGGACTGCTGAGGGGAGGCGAGGGCTCCCCGGGCGGACCGCTGAAGGGAGGCGAGGGGCTCCCCGGGCGGACTGCTGAAGGGAGGCGAGGGCTCCCCGGGCGGACCGCTGAGGGGAGGCGAGGGCTCCCCGGGCGGACTGCTGAAGGGAGGCGAGGGGCTCCCCGGGCGGACTGCTGAAGGGAGGCGAGGGGCTCCGGGCGGACTGCTGAGGGGAGGCGAGGGCTCCCCGGGCGGACTGCTGAAGGGAGGCGAGGGGCTCCCCAGGCGGACCGCTGAGGGGAGGCGAGGGGCTCTCCGGGCGGACCGCTGAGGGGAGGCGAGGGGCTCCCCGGGCGGACTGCTGAAGGGAGGCGAGGGCTCCCCGGGCGGACTGCTGAAGGGAGGCGAGGGGCTCTCCGGGCGGACCGCTGAGGGGAGGCGAGGGGCTCTCCGGGCGGACCACTGAGGGGAGGCGAGGGGCTCTCCGGACGGACCACTGAGGGGAGGCGAGGGGCTCTCCAGACGGACCACTGAGGGGAGGCGAGGGGCTCTCCGGGCGGACCGCTGAGGGGAGGCGAGGGGCTCTCCGGGCGGCCACCGATGGGAGGCGAGGGGCTCTCCGGCCGGACCACTGAGGGAGGCGAGGGACTCTCCGGACGGACCACTGAGGGGAGGCGAGGGGCTCTCCGGGCGGACCACTGAGGGGAGGCGAGGGGCTCTCCGGACGGACCACTGAGGGGAGGCGAGGGGCTCTCCGGGCGGACCACTGAGGGGAGGCGAGGGGCTCTCCGGGCGGACTACTGAGGGGAGGCGAGGGGCTCTCCGGGTAGGCAGGGACGGCTCCTTCCAGTGGAGACAACAATGCAATCTCCAGGAGGGGATACTTGCCTGAACGAAGGTGGGAGCGTGACGCCCTTCGAAGACGAAGGAGAGAGGCAATTCTGTTCAAGGGTGAGTGCAAAGCCGTGACAAGCTTCCAAAAATAAGGTGAAAGTGCGGCTGACTCCCGAGAGATGAAGACTAAACCGTAGCCATCGCTCACCAAAAAACATTAGCAACAGCAACAGTTGCTAATTTCATTTCCAGGCAAGCATTAGCCGTTATGAGCGCCTGTACTGTGTCTGGGCGCGTCTTCCCGCAACAACAGGTGAAGAAGGCTTATGAGCCTTTAGTGTATTAAATTGCCTTAATATATATATATATATATATATATATATATATATATATATATATATATATATATATATCTATATATATGTATATATATATATACATAATTATTGTATGTTCACTGATATATGCCATTGATAAAAATGTGGATCTATGGTGAATTATTACATGCGGTGCGGAAGAAATACGACGCATTTCAGCACGAGGAGTGCTCCTCTCCGCGACGTGTGGCGTCTCGGCGACCTTTGCCGTGACCTGTGCCGTGACCTGTGCCGTGACCTGTGCCGTTAAATGTGCCCTGACCTGTGTCCTGACATGTGCCCTGACCTGTGTCCTGACCTGTGTCCTGACCTGTGCCCTGGCCTATGCCCTGACCTGTGCCCTAACCTGTGCTTGTCGGTGCCGCAGCGCTGGAGTCTCGGATAGCGGGCACAGCCGGGACGGCCGTGCGTCGGTTACACCCGTTCTTGGCGGCCGTGCTCGTGCTCGCTGTCATCATCCTGCCGGCAATATTCTGAGGGATGGCGTGCCGACCGAGGTGAGGCGCATCGATTTGCGCTAGGCGGTGGTCACTTCAGGCCCGAACAGCACACACGAACCGGGATTTTTCTGTCTCCGTGAATGGGTGGGGTGCCTCCCAAAATCAAGTCTAGTTTTAGTCCTCTTATTTTGGTGGGGAGCACGATATAAGAGTGGTTATTTTAGGGATCTAAAGACGCTGGAGCGAGTTGTCAGGCCATTTCATTTGGTTAGGCAATCACTCACGCAGCGTGAAGCACGAAACCATGCCTGCTCACTGATGCACCATCTAAGGGGATGTTGAGCCTGCACCAAGGGCTTGGCTTAATGCCGCTAATGCGTTGGTAACACTGAAGACAGGGTGCCCGGTATTGGTGTGCCCACACGAAGCACAGGTTGCCGAGCGGAGGGAATAAATAGCCACGGTAACGGAACGTTGTTAGTCAAGACACCGTCCATATCAAAATGTTTAGAAACGGATTGTCGACTGCTGAGCTGACATGCTAGGGCCAGACACATGACGAAACGGAGTGAGTTTTTCCCTCATGTTACCTCGTGCTTTCATTAATGAGACCGGCCTGTTTTTTGCTCGTTTGCGACGCACACGAACGGCACTGATGAAATGGCCTGCCTTCCGTAAAAATTAGACAACAGTCTCATTTCACAACAAGGACCAGCTTCACCGCCATTAGCCTGACAAGCTAATCTATTGACCATTTGCCCTGCAGGACCGCTCACTGCGATTTTTACAACTACTGGCCGAGGCGCTAACAGCTATATTTCAGCAACATGTTTCCAACGCAGATTGGCGGACAACACATGAATGTCGCAAACTGCAGTGAAGCATGCCATTGGAATATAAGTTTTTTACTCTTTGGGCAGTAATCACATCAATATCAATCAACTTTCCGACCGCGCCACAGTGCACTTAACTACTGCGGTCATTAGCGCAGCATTCCCTCGTGCCAGCTGCGGCGGGACACTGAATCATTTGGCTTCATTACCGGCCGAAGGAGTAATTGCCGTGCTGCTGCAGATTGAATGTGCCCGCATCACGGCGACACGGTGACGCCCCACCGCGACCGCGAGGAAAGAAGACCGTGGCGTCAGAGGCCCGCTCGGCCACCGATGGCGAGCGACGCCGGTTGGGCATCGGATCCGCAGCCGGGGACACGCAGCTTCACGCGGCGCAAGCTGCGAGTGCGGGTCGAGCGGAGAACGGTACAGTGTCTGACACGCGGCCCGGGACCTGGGACGGACGTCTGCGTGCGGAGGCCGGCTGTGGCGCGCTGTGACCTGACCGACGACCGCCCAATAGCCGCTGTCGCAGAGTGAACGGCTGCTCTTGCGGCCGGCGACTGCTCGAGCTGTGCGGTGTGGACTGTGGTGGGCCGGCTGCGCCGTCGCCAGGAATGACAGCAACAGACCACTCCGCGTCGAAGTGGGACGCAACACTCCTCAGGCCGCTAGGTCGGAGCGCTGCTAAGTCTCTCCTCGAAGCGTGCGGGAGATGCCCCTTTCCATGCCTCGGACTCGACGGCGACAATATTTTTCTAGAGCTGTGCGATCGGCGACGTGGATGCGAAGCGTGGGAGCGCACGGGCCCGCCTGTGGTGCGCCAAGGAGTCTTCTGAATTTGAGGTGCGATACCTAGTGTTTCCCTCCACTTCTCGGGAAGTGTGGGTTGCGTTGGCGATCACACCCGATTCGTAAAACCCCGATATCGTTTAATCCCTGCATGTGCCCGCCGCATAGCGACACGCCATTGCCTGCCCTGAATCGTTGAAAGCGACCTATTCTTGCACCACAGAACGCTCCCTCTCTCACCATTCCGTATCTTGGAATGAGTGACAGCGTCTGCACGCGCCGTACTGGGTTCGTATCTCCCCTCGCCATATCAATGGCGCACGCGTCCCGCGCTTGCGGGTCTGTCGGGCGGTTCGCATAAGCGCGCGCGCGAGTGTAGGCTATGCCGTGCACCGTGCGAGAAGTCGGCGCGGCCAGCTGAGAGGCCACGTCCGACGCCGGTCCGTAGAAGGCTCGGGCCTTTCCGTTTGACGTTGACGCTGTTGGCCGACGCGTCTCTGCGAGGCTCGTGTCGCGAGAGGACGGGGACACGTTTCTAGTCCTTTCTCGGCCGCCGTGCTCTGCGTCCGAAAGGCTTGCCGCTGCAGACGAGCTGCTGAGTTGGGAGTTTGTACACACGAGCCGTCGCCCAGCACCTGTGATTGCTTACGTCGTGTCACGCTTGTGTTTGATTGTTATGTTTGTGTTCAGGGTAGGCAAATAGCTTTGCGCAATGTGGGCTACATGTTTGTTTAATTTAGCTACAACCGAGCGATCTCACTCTGCGAGTGTTAGTAAAACGACCTTCGATGAAAATACACTGCTCATTGATGACGTCTGCCGTTGCCGATGCCGTTCCAGCCAGGCAGGCACTGCGAGTGAATGCCTGCCAAGATGAAAACACTTCTCTGAGGAACATGGCTTCGTAACGTGTTTAATTGTGCCCCTGTTCATTTAGCGCGTTAGTCATAGAGCTATTATTGCCTGCGCCACCGGTCTGGTTTCGATGTAGTACAATATATTTTGTGTGCTGTCTACTTTACGGTCATGACGGTGACGGAGTGCGATGACGTGAGCTTATGACGCCTTCAGCGGCCGGCTCAGTTTGATGAACGGCACTTCGCCGAACGCCCTCAAATCTCGCACAAACAAAACGGACAAGAAACATCGCACGCACGGAAACACACACACGCACGTGCGTGCCCGCCTTCACGTCACGGCAAACACAACACGCACGCACGCACACGACCGTGTGACAGGTCTGACCCGTTCAGTCCTTGCGAGGACCCGTAATTGGCCGGCCGAGCCGTGGCCCAGCAGTGATTGGCCGGCGCGGCGCGCTCCTGGCGCCGCGGCGACCGCGCTACTGGGACCAAGGTGCGCCACTAATGCCGCCGCGTCGGGCGCCGTCGCCTGACACCGATGAATGACCCCGGCTCGGCCGGGCGACGGCCTGCTTAATTAGCTCGATCACCTAATGGATCGCCGCTTTAATGGCGCAAATGGTGTACGGTATCCGGGCGCGGTGAGGCACGCGGGAGGGACTGGCGGGTCCCGGCCGCCGAGCTGCCGGCCGGGGGCCCCAGCGGGCACCGACGGCGCTGGCGAGTCCGTCCGCATCTCAGGAGCACGACCGCGGTTGAGGGATGAACAGACGAGCCAACATGGTGGGCTCACGTTACTAGCACGATGCTGGGCATCACAGCCAAGACTCGACGCTTTGGATGCGATTCTCTTCGTGGTATAGTTGACGAAGCGTCTCTTGTTCCTTGTCCAGTGGCTATACAAATTGATATGCATTCTTAGTGCAGAACTGCGCTAAGAGATGCAGTTTTGCGGCCCATATTGGTGTAATAAGAATAACTAACAAAACAATGTGTGCATACATACATGGTTCATGATAGGTTCAGAAACAAAGCTATGAAACTTTGTGGTTCACGTTCTTTTTAAGTCCTTGGACGCAATCGACCAGTACCAACACCAAGCAGAAGTCACGAGACGTCCTTTGAGCCTTCGGGCCGATCCCGGGCGTAGACTTGATGACGAAAGGCTCCAGGGAATACCCCGCCGTTCGGAACTCAATCTGGGAAAATGACAAGACGGACAGGACAGTGATAAAACAGTTAGGTTATGTCCCAAGTTTGGCAAAAACTGACCGGAGAGACAATCACTTTTACCGCCACTGATGAAATGAACGCAGTCTGACCAGTGCTTTTCGCGCCGATCAATGAAGAGAATATCTTTTTCCGCCGATCAGTGAAGAGAATATCTTTTCGCGCCGATCGGTGTAGAGAATATCTTTTCGCGGCCGATCAGTGAAGAGGATATCTTTTCGGTCCTATCAGTGAAGAGAATACCTATGGTAGTTCAAGTTCAGAAAAGACAAGGCCGTGACAAAGTCGTCCGATGCGAGCGAGTGTCAGCGGATTTGCTGTAATAAGCCGCTGTGATGGAGTGACGCCACGTTTGACTGACTGATCAGACTTGATGACTAATTTGTTTGCGTTGGCCGAATCAGTTTCAGCAGATGCCCGCGCCAGTCCTGTCGGAGTTTGTGACGTCACAGTGCGGGATCTGACGTCGACCAGTGACGGGGGCCGCACGACCGGCAGAGGCTCCAAGTTTGTTAGCACATGTATCGGGCGCTGTGGGATTCCGAAAAAATTGGTGTTCATTAATGCCACATTGGCATCTGCAACTCTGGGCTCCTGGCATGACAAAGTACGTCGGAGGGCCTTATCGACTCCTTTAGGAAATTTGCGCTTGAATGCAATGTAAAATTCTTGAACCTACTGGGATCCCGAAACCCTTCCGAGACACCCTGTAAGCCTTCGGGTTCCATGCTAATCAAATCGGGTGTCCTGTGGCTTTCGGCGAGCTGTGGAGAAGTGATCCATGGGTGGATTGGCCTGAGACTAGATTTTTGTACCATGTTGTCACCATTTTGGGACATATCTAGCAATTTTCTACATAGTAGTAGCTAAAACAGTCTATACTAGTTCATATCAATGTGATGGCATCATAGACAGTAGACATAACAAAAGATGAAGGTGATACACCGCGTACATATGGCTTTTTGGCCGCCGCGTGTAGGGTCTGTACATAGCTCATATACTTGTGTTGGCGAGCGACGGTTGCATAATGATGCTAGACGTACCAGTGAGTGGTGAATCTATATTTTCTTTGCTTTGTTGCAAGGACCAAATTTGAATTTTGTGAAAATCTATTAACTGATTTTGATAAAACTCAATCAAACAACTCACCAAACTTATGTTCATATAGCTAATCAACAACTTGTAATGGCTTGCGCTCATTTTTCTCCCCATATGTCCTGTTACGGTTGCCTGATAGTACAAATTTACATCTGTTTGTGGCTTAACGTGTTCCAATATTCCAGC